CACCTCGACCTGCTGGGCTCCGGCGATCCTTCTGCCTCAGCCTTCCGAGTAACTGGAATTACAGGTATGCGCTACCACGCCCGGCTGATTTTTTGATTTATTGTACAGATGAGGTCTCGCCAAGTTGCCCAGGCGGGTCTCAAACCCTTGGGCTCAGGCAATCCACTCACCTCACTCTCCCAAAGCATGGGATTACAGGCTGAGCCACCAAGCCCAGCTGCTCCAAAACTTTTAAACTTTTATTTTTATCGTTTTGAGTAGAAATATAAAAGTATATATTATATCTTTTTAAAAACAGAGATAACATAATTCAATCTTTTCTTTTCTTTCTTTCTTTTTTTTTTTTTTTTTGAGTTGGAGTCTCACTCTGTCACCCAGACTGGAGTGCAGTGGCTGCTCCCGGCCACCGCAGCCTCGACCTGTTGGGCTCTGGCGATCCTTCCGCCTCAGCCTTCCAAGTAGCTGGAACTACCATGCCCAGCTAATTTTTGATTTTATTGTAGAGATGAGGTCTCACCAAGTTGCCCAGGCAGGTCTCGAACCCGCGGACTCAGGCAATCCACTCACCTCAGCCTCCCAAAGTGCTGGGATTATAGGCTGAGCCACCGAGCCTGGCTAATCTTTTCTTGATATACTAGGAACACAATTATGAATGCCAATATAATGGTGGTATAATAAAACGGTGACCAGGGATGCTATGATATATGAGAAATTTTACCTGATAACAAATGACTCCAGACTATATATACCCTTCTTGTTGAACTCATGTATCTGTTCTTCTGTTTCTACCTTTCTAGTCAGGCTGTTAGAGAGCCATTTGGCTGTGGTTAATATGTCTGTGTCTAGCACCTCTCCCCTTTTCTAATTTATTCACTTCTGGAATGGGAATCCATATGACCAAATTGTACTCAAAATGAGTAAAGAGGTGTTAATAAAGTACATACACTTTGAGTGACAGCTTTGTAGTATTTTATTTATTTATTTATTTATTTATTTTGAGTTGGCGTCTCACTCCGTCGCCCAGACTGAAGTGCAGTGGCTGCTCCCAGCCACCGCAGCCTCCACCTGCTGGGCTCCGGCGATCCTTACGCCTCAGCCTACCAAGTAGCTGGAACTACAGGCGCACGCTCCCACACCCGGCTAATTTTTGATTTATTGCAGAGATGAGGTCTCGCCAAGTTGCCTAGGCGGGTCTCGAACCTGCGGGTTCAGGCAATCCATTCACCTCAGTCTCCCAAAGGCGCGGGATTACAGGCTGAGCCACCGAACCCGGCTTGTGGTATCTATTTTAGTGGTTCAGAAGCCTTTTCTCCTTACTTGCTCATGACTGCCTGATTAACCCACGGGTGCTGCCTGCATACATAGACCACTGGCTGTTGTCTAAGTAAATACTGCTTGTTAAATAATAAATGATTACAATTGTGACTGAAGCAAATATCACTTTTATTATCTAATATTATGGTTAACGAGACCGGGCGTAGTGGAGCATACCTATAACCCCAAGGTGGGAGGACTGCTTGAGTCCAGGAGTTACAAATCAGCTTGGGCAACATGGTGAGATCTCGTCTCTACAAAAATTCTCTCTCTCTCTCTCTCTCTCTCTCTCTCTCTCTCTCACACACACACACACACACACACACACACACACACACTAGCTAGGTGTTACAATGCATGTCTGTAGTCCCAGCTACTTGGGAGACTGATGTGGAAGGATTGCCTGACCAGCAGATCGAGGCTGCAGTGAATTGTGATCCTGCCACTGCTCTCCAGCCTGAGTGACACTGAGAGCCCAACTTAATTAACAATAATAGTAATAATGATAATAATAATGCGAGTGAATTGCAAATCAAAAAGGGTTTATAAACTAAGCAATGGTGCTGTCTGTCTTTCATCTCTCAAGTCTTTCATTTCAAATCCAGCAAGTTCCCCACAATGCTAAAGAGTAATGGAGTAGGGTAAGATCTTCAACATGCTGGCTAAGAAGCATGGCCAAAACAAGGCATTTTTTAAAGGCATAAAGAGAGAGCCATAAAGCACACCACTGTATAGGAAAAAAAGATTTTCTACTATTTAGTAAGCATCTGCTTACTAAAGTGAGTGCCAATGAATCATTTACTTCTCATATTAACCCTAGGAAGTCAAAAGCACCCCAATTTATACTTAAAAAGCCAGGTTTATGGAGCCAAGGAACCTGTCAGAAGTCACAGTTTGTAGGTGACCCGGCTGAATTCATGGCACACCAATACTTCTACTCGTGACACCAATGACATTCTTAGAATATAGGAACACTTGTTCTTGGCACTGCTTTCAAGATTTGACACACCAGAAGTCCCACCGGATTACCTTCCTCCAGGATCCAGAGGGAGCCACGGTGAGTTAGCGCCATCTGCTGACCATTGCCCTGAACATCAGGATGAAGGACAAGGGCTGGGAGCGGGGGTGAAGGGTGAGGAGGGGAGGACGATGATGACTCATGCCAGCAGAGTTTACCTCCAGCCCCCAAGGACAGGCCCAAGAAGAAGATGAACACTTTCCTGGAGTCCCTTTGGCTAAAGTATTTTTTTTTTTTGAGTTGGAGTCTCACTCTGTCGCCCAGACTGGAGTGCAGTGGCCGCTCCTGGCCACCGCAGCCTCGACCTGCTGGGCTCTGGTGATCCTTCCGCCTCAGTCTTCCAAGTAGCTGGAATTACAGGCATGCGCTACCACGCCCGGCTGATTTTTTTTGGATTTATTGTAGAGATGAGGTCTCGCTGCCCAGGCAGGTCTCGAACCCGCGGGCTCAGGTAATCCACTCACCTTAGCCTCCCAAAGGCGTGGAATTACAGGCTGAGCCACCGAGTCTGGCGGTTAAAGTATTTTTTTACAAACCAGGCACGGTGGCTCACACCTGTAATACCAACACTATGGGAGGCCAAGGTGGGAGAATGGCTTGAGATCAGGAGTTCAGGAACAGTCTGGGCAACATCATGAGACCTCATATATACAAAAAATAGTAATTAAAAAAAAAACTAGTAGGGCATAGTGGCACATGCCTGTAATCTCAGCTACTCGGGAGGCTAAGGTAGAAGGATCATTTGCGCCCAGATGGTTGAGGTTGAGGTGAGCAGGGATCATATCCCTGCACTCCAGCCTGGGAGACAGAGTGAGAACCCAACTCACACACACACACAAAGTGTTTTTATAGCAACTCACAATGCTGGGAGGTATACCAAGAAAAAAAGAGCTTTATATACAGCTATGTAGTTCACAAAAGATAAATAACTCAAGATAAGGAGTCAGTTCCTCAAGAAAAGTTATTTGAGCTAAAAAAAAAAATTACATTTGACTTTATTCAAGCATCATTAACCTGTCAGAACAGAGCTGAAAATGGGTGTGTTGTAGAAGATCTGATATGAACACAGGTATTCACCAACACTTTCCTGACAGACAACCCATTTTATCACAGGGAAAATCTCAAATGGTCGTGCTTCTGAACTCAGAACTTGAGAGGACGTCCTATAGGAACCTGACCAGAGGTTATCTATGCAGTGCCAAGTGGCAGAGAAGTCCTTGCAGGCCTCTGGAGTTCCACTACTCTACCCAGTCCCCAAGCTCTGCTCCATCTCATGGCTACCTGGTCACACTCTGGAGCAAGGATACTGTCCCAATCTGTGGATTTCAGATGAAGGAACACACACTTGTAAAATGGAACATGCTCTTTTGTCAACTAGCCAAGTGGTTCCTACAGAATGATCCTTAACATTTGAATCATTTCCAACACAGATGTTATATCATTTAAACTTGACACTCATCTGTGCTCAAATACCATTTGGAAAGTCTTGATACATCCCTACGGTACGTGTTTTCCAGTTTGAATACCACTATAAGGTTCATAACACTAAACAGTCTAGCACAAAATGCTTGTTGGGTGCTGATTCCAATATTTTTGGTAAATTCTGACCCGCAGAGCACAGTTTTAGAGGGATGCATTAAAATTACCAAATGCATGTTATCTGTGTGATGAAACTATCATTGGCATGATGCCAAAGCCACGAGCCTTGTCCACATCGCTGAGGAAAAGGTAGACTAAGTTGTGCACAGCTCCCTCTGATTGCACTTTTCCAGGACAAAGTCTAGAATCTGCTAATCAGGCAACCTCTGGGAATTCCTTCTGGGACACTCATCAGTTGGATTAATCATTGTATAAGTTTTTAGAAAGTATGTCGATTAACACTTACCTCTTTATTGACTGTAATATGCTGTGGTTACATGTAGGCTTTTATGAAGACACCATCTCAAGTTTCTGTCAAGCAAAGGAATTGTTGAAAGATAAGTACTGTTGGGCCCGGTGGCTCAGCCTGTAATCCTGCGCTTTGGGAGGCTGAGGTGAGTGGATTGCCTGAGCCCGCAGGTTCGAGACCCGCCTGGGCAACTTGGCGAGCCCTCATCTCTACAATAAATAAAAAAAAAAGTTAGCCGGGTGTGGTAGCGCAGGCCTGTAGTTCCAGCTACTTGGAAGGCTGGGCGGAAGGATGGCCGGAGCCCAGCAGGTCGAGGCTGCAGTGGCTGGAAGCGGCTACTGCACTCCAGTCTGGGTGACAGAGTGAAACTCCAACTCAAAAAAAAAAGAAAGATAAGTACTTAGTCAAGTATTTACCAAATTGCTATGGATTCAGCCCATACATAAAATGAAGTACCTGCCTTCTGAGAGCTCACAGTCCAATTGGGAATACAAGGCTAAATGCACAAAACATCAACCCATAAATAAAATTAAATGTTCAATTGTTCTGAAAGGATATATTCCACATCAATATAAGGGTATTCCCATGTCATCATACTACTGGCTTTTCTTTCCCCACTAGAATGGAAGCTCAAATAGAAGAATAGTTTTTAAAATTCAATGATATTTTCCCAATAGTTGACATGCAACTGGTGCTCAAGAAATATTTGTTGACTGAATGAATGAAGTCAGGACAGAGAAAGAGAAGGCTTCCTAGAGCAGTGTCCCCAAGTAAGTCTCAACTTAATTAACTACTTTTATTCAGTTTGCTTTATAGAAATCCATAGATTTCAGCAATCTCTTCTTTATTCCTCTAAGAAACGCATGGGTGTGAAACTAATTTAAATTGGGTGTCAGGGTTGTGATCCTTGTAACTCATTTCTAAAAGGAGAGGTTTGTCCTAGATCAATGAATTTCAAACATTGTTTGTTTGTTTGTTTTTTTGAGTCAGAGTCTCACTCTGTAGCCCAGGCTGGAGTGCAGTGGCACGCAGCTCATTGCCACTGCAGCCTCTACCTGCTGGGCTCAGGTGATCCTTCTGCTTCAACCTTCCAAGTAACTGGAACTACAGGCATGTACCACCATGCCCGGCTAATTTTTTGATTTATTGTAGAGATGAGGGCTTGTCAAGTTGCCCAGGCTGGGCTCGAACCCGTGAGTTCAGGCAATCCTCTCACCTCAGCCTCCCAAAGTGCTAGGATTATAGGCGTGAGCTACAGTGCACAGCCTCAAACATTGTTTTAATGCAAAAGAACTTCATTTTCAAACACAATCCCAATAATGAACCAGATAAAAGCAGAGCCGCTCTGGGTGACTTTGGGGTGGCACGGGAAGGCAGGGGGATCCACCTACTTGGTTCCCTCACTCCTACTACAGAGCTATATAGCTTCTGATAAATTTTTGGAACAAGGTTTGACAGCCCTGGATTGAGTGATCCTCTCGACTGGTTGGGACAACAGGTGCTCACCACCACACTTCGTTCATTTTTACATTTTTTGGTACAGACTGTGTCTCGCTATGTTGTCGAGGCTGGTCTCCAACTCTCGCCTCGGCCTCCCAAGGTGCAGGGATGACGAGTCACCGTCTGGGTCTGGCCTGGGGGAACTTCAAAGACTCTCTTCTCTGGAAATTGTATTAACGGAGGCATCTGAGGAAGGCCCAGGTCTTGGGGAAGGAAGACCTGAGCTTCCTTTTGGTCTCTGCCACTTTAAGCTGAGGAACATTGGGAGTCACCATCCCAAAGAGAGCAAAACACCCGCGACCCGAGACAGGCCACGCTCCTCCTGGCATCCGGCCGGCGGAGGCGGGGGCCACGTGGCTCTGGACGCGAAGGAGCTCGCGAGAGCTCCCTGGCGTACCACCAGCCCGTGAGCCTACCTGGCCTCGCCCTCCCACCCCAAAGCGCAAAACTAAAGGCACCCAGGCTCGCCCGGCCCTTTCTCTGGAGTCGAGCTGGTCTGAATCACATGACCGAGGCCAACGCTCAGGCTGGCACCGTCCTAGATGCACCTGTCGCCGGACCCCGCCGTGTGCGCTCACGGGCACTCGAGGAGGGCTTGACGAATGGGCTGTCCGCCGGGGTGCGACCAGATTTAGGAAAACCGTGGGGACTGTTCCGCGTCCAGGGCCGAGCGGCTGCCGCGCCCGGCGCAGGCCGAAGGGGCGGGAAGAGGGGCCGTCACCCAGCCGGGATGCGCAGGGACTAGGCGAAACTGGCCGGGAACCTAAGGAGAAGGAGCCTGGGGGAGGAACCTGAGCGAATCGGAAGCGTCTGGCGGCTGCCGGCTCACCCTCTGGACCCCCTGCGGCCGGCGAGTCCACCGGTCTCGCTTTGACCTTCCCAGTCGCTCACCGAAAACGACGGAAAAAAGAGCGGCTCCGAGACGGGCTGGGACTACAGCTCCCGGCATGCACCTCTCCGTGTCGACCTCTCTGGGATGGGATCTGAGGGCGCGTCTGGAAGTTCGGCATGTCGGGACCTGTCGTCCCCGCATGAGGCCCGCCGCTCGCCGTAGCGCGCTCATTGGTGCCCCGGTCGCCGCCCCCTCCCAATAGCCTCACGTCGGCGTCTCATGCGCGCACGTCCCCCTCCCCCTCGCCTACGACTCAGGTGCGTGCACGTTCTCCCCCTGCCTAGGGCGCAGGCGCGCGCACCCTCCCGTTCCTGTCTGGCACGCGGGCGCACGCACGCTCCCCCTCCCCCGCCTAGGACGCAGGCGCGCGCACGCTCCCCGGGCCGGG